GATTTTATTCACAAAATATCAGAATAATTGGCTTTTCAAGCAAAGCAGTGGCATTCCCATACAAACCTTTATAAATTCAGACCGTTGAAACACAACACCTCCATATACTGCAAGACGGGAGTCATGTTTCGCGTGGTCAAATTCGGTCGTTATGTAATAGTACACGCCATAGGTCACGTTAGCCTGAACGTTCGCATAAAAAGGAAAAAAAAAAGGATAACATTGAGAGCTTGGGCCGCCTGTGTGTCCACGTACTGGCCTGATACCATGTGATATCCGATATCTACGATATCATGGTCACTTAGCCGAATATAAGTGCGGTAAATACCTAATCGTACTTTTTCATTTTTAGTACGCCTTTGGGTAAAAAGCGAATCAGCGAATCATGGCGAGGCCAAACTCCCGTGATATGCCACCGAAGCGTACTAGAAAGGTACGATTAGGTATCCAAATCAACGGCCAAGCCATCTTATTGAGGAAGATTTTAAGACAATTATGATTAAAGGAAAAAGCTAACCTTAATCGGGATAAAACATGCGTTCGAAATCGATCAACAAAAGGAGTTATAAATGAAGACAGTCCTTCTAATTATCATATAGCATAGTTTCTCAAATCACGCACCTGGCAGGCTGGTAATAAGACTTCTTGAAGTCTTTTTTGAATAGCCAACCTCACTCTTGAGTAAGTCATAAACTGTAACCTGCAAATGATAGGAGGTAAGAGTGTTTAAAGAAGAAGTAAGAACGTTCACTTGAAATACAATGTCGAGATTGGATTCAAAAGTTTACACACAGCCCTTAAACCCATGTAAGGACAGTTTACCCAATATTTACTATTTTGAATTTCCTTTTGTTTGCTTTGAACGTTCATAATTCAGAATCTATTCTTACATGGTAACCTTACTATCTCACCTTGTTTCAGCTTTTCACCTTCAGTTGATAATGATCAATACGTTTAATACAATAGTGGAGACGAGAAGTAGAAACACTGAACCTTTAGAAAGATATTTTTGCTTTTCATTTCTTTTCAGAATACTTTCGGTGAGCTTTCAAACTGAAAAGTAGTTTTCTTCCATGAAAAATCTTGAAATCTCAACAGGAAACTGGAAAATTTCTGTAATCTACCATTTTAGCATCTGAAATGGATCAGGATTCTGTTTGATTTAATTCCCGCCTCTGTTTCCTTAAACATTAGCCATCTTATTATTTTGTTGTTTCATTTTCATCTATAATCCGAAAAAACTGGGTCTCGTTTTATAATAATAATAATAATAATAATAATAATAATAATAATAATAATAAATAATAAACAAATCTTTAGACAGGATTAACCCATCAGTACTATAAAGTACTGTTATCAAAGGGATCCTGTAAGATTTAAAAATTTAAAAATTTAAAAAAGGTAAAAAGTTAAAAAGGCAAAACTAGTACATTGGNAACTAAAGGTATTTGTTTGTCCGAATTGATAATGAAAATGAGTCTTGATACATAAATTCAAATAAATATGTTTTAAAAAAGCCAGTCAGAAAAATACGTTTGGTGAGGCAAAAAGAAAAACACTGTAATCAAACTTACTTGAAAGTCTACAAATTCTTCATACTTCTTTTGAAGTACAGACTTGCTGCCGTCGCCATAAACAACGGTAATCTTGTATGTCTGTAAAAGTTAAAGAAAATCAAGAGAATTAATTAAACTAAAGGTGTTCTTGATTTTCAAGTGCTCCTTCATGACCGGCAGCCCTATTGTTACTAACCCACTTGAAAGCCGAGTAATTATGCAACCCACCCAACCACAAGATCACGTGGAATAAGGTTAGCTAAATATGACCAGGCTAAAGGCTCTTTAAAGTGTCAAATAATAGCTGGTTTACTAAACCTTTCGGGCTTAGCCCTGGTCCAGTGGATAGAATGAGCGAGCCACGCCATACACTGTACCTGTGCCCACGCTCGGAAAGCGCGGGTTCGAAGTGTTTTACTCCGCGTTACTGATTTTCAATAGAGAGCAGATGTATTCAGCCACAGCCGCAGATACTTCTGCGATGGCATGCTACAATAGAGATGAAGGAATCGCAATTGAAGGTTTCTTAGGACATCGTGACTATTGAAATTTCAAGCCTACACATTTATTCAATTTGTAAAGCAGTGCAGAAGACAACAGATAAAATTTGTTGCAAATTGTGGTAACGTTCAGAAAATCAACCCATCATTGGCGTACCCCCAAAATTTGGGCACTGAGTCAGTTTTTTTGGGGCAACAGGAAAAATTTGGGCAAGGGGTTTTTAAAACGTTTCCATTTGTTTCGAGAAGTTATTATATATGTCACTAAAAACAGAGAATAACAATACTGGTAATCAATCATTACAATAAAGTGAGTCTCGACACTCAAACGTCCTGAGAGTCGGCATTTTCTTAACACCCATTATTTTTCGTGTCTTATGTTGTCACTGAGACGAGAGCTTTATTTTTGCAAGCATTTGGATTTTTTTTTTCATTCTCAATGCCCACTGTTTACAACTTTAAACATTGCAGAAATTTCATTCATGTTTTTACCGAAGCGTGCTTTATTGTCAATACTGCCGTGTCGAAATTCACAGGCGCAAACACGCAAATTTTCCCTCTTATGCTCTTTACCAAATGTCACGAATTGCAAAGAGATACTGTCAGTGCGTTGAAAATTAAAGGTTTCTAAAAGACAACATGCAATCACCTTTTAAAAAATGTTTGTATCGATTGTTTTATAAAAAATTTGGGAAACTTGGGAAAATTTTTTGGGAAAGTGATTCTCCCCCCCACCCCGGAAAAATTGTCCGTACGCCTAGCGCCTATGCCTGACATACTCTTGAAAACGTACAGTATCAGGTGAACAAAACTTTCAAGGCTAACAAAGCTACAAGGCCAATGTAACGTCAAGTGAACAAAGAGAGGTGGCTGTATTCTAGACGAGTGCTGTAATCCCAGCTTGAGGAAGAAAGGGCGGGTGTTTAACACAGCCCTGGCGAAAGGACGAGGTGTCCGTAAGCACGTGAGGAGTTAGCCAGATGAAGGCAATCAGGAGAGATGCTCGCTCGCTCACTAAAACACGCTACTTGAATGCAGCAGAAAACAGCTCTACTCTTGGAGAGCGAAAAAATGAAAATAGATTAAAAAAAAAAAAAGAACACTAGTGTTAGATTTTCCCGCAATCGGAGTGATGTGCCATAAGTTTAAGGCTGTCATCGTTTTTGGACGAGATACCGTAATGGTATGCAAGTTTTGAATTTTCTTCGAGACAAGTTAAGTGTCTTAAAAAATCACTCAATAAAAAATGTCCTAAGGGAAGTGGCGTTTCACGTGATGCAAATACGTCTAAACAATTCTTACTACATCTGGGAACTTGGCACAGTTATATAATCTCGACCGCACGAGCACTATATTCGTGTATGACGTCTAAAATCAATGTAAACAGCAGGAGGTGAGATTAAACAACACTTCCTGCCTTTTTATCCAAGCTCGTTAAGGAAAATCTCTGGAAATAGGGTTGAGTTTTAATCGAGTTAAAATCGAGTGAAAGTTTGAGACATTCAAAAACACGCGCCGCAGGCGAATGCTTTCACAGCTTGTTTGAGGTATTACAGGGTCCGCAATCTCTCTCTGATGTTTTCTAGAGAGAACATTATTTAGCACTGGGTTGCGGATACCCTGGAAAGTAACTCGTTTAGGCTGAATGTAGCTTCGTTTAGCCTGAAAAGCTTTACGGTTGGCGTGAATAGTGCTGACTAATTGATAAAAGGTCACTTATGCAATTCGTGTTTTACCGATAAGTTTCTCCGTTAGAGTTTGGGTGCGGCGGTTAATCGACGTTTCCTCGCTTAGTTGTGACTTTAAGTAGCGAAGTGAAGAAAATACAAGCAACTAACCTCAGAGTCTTTGTCATCTTTTAAAGTTACTGTTCCAGTGACAGAGGCACACAGAACTGTCTTGCTGTCCATGGTGCGACGGTGCAAGTGATCCAAAACGGCTTACGATGCTGTATAACAAATTGTGTGCTCTCATAGAGTGTAATCAAGCGCGAGCCAATCGTACGCTACCGTCCTCAAGACGTATTTCCTGTTTATGTGACACCCGCTATATTTAGATTCACTGCAGCTATTGTCCCTTGGTTCCCCTTCGAATCGCTGACACCCAGATTTTCACCAATACAATATAATAACTTTATTGACGCATCAAATCCGCTGGTGCTAGACTTCTCAGTGACAATAAGCTACAATAGAACATAAGAAGCCCGAGCAGTTCCCTCGCTCGTCTTTGAATTCACTAAGCTAGCCATAGAGTTTTCCGCAGCAAAAAAGAAAATTTAAAATGAAATAACATATACCAGGATGATTTCTCCATAGCATAACCAGACATAACACTGACCGAAAAGACCAGAACAAGGGAATTGTTTTAACCGGAAGCACACATTGACAGTAACGTTCAGCAGAAAAGACGAGCCGCTGAAACGAGCTTCCTTCAGCTCGTATGAGCTTGTAACAGCCTTCCTTCAACAACAAGGCAAGTTAGAGGACAAATCACAAGATACTCGCCTTGATACTGTTTCATAGTTCTCTAACTGTTACTACGTACGTTTGAAACACTGACAAGGACATTGCGATTTACCATCGGGAGTTTCTGACAGCAAGCGCACTGATTTTCTATTAAAACCAGAATCTCTGCGTTGCATTAACGTTCGGCCGCTCGCTAAATGCGGATATGATTCCCGCTAGGCTATTTTGGCGAGTACAAAGTCTATCTTGTGTTATTTGCGGTGCCCTTGCTCCAGCAATCTGTTCCTGAATTATTAAACGGTCTGGCAAGGGGACAAATCATGTTAAATAACAAGACACGCTCCTTCGTGTTTCCTATCACGAGCTAAATAGCTTCGCTTTTCGCAATTTTGCGGCCACCAAAATGGCATAATTTTCAGGAGCAAACCACGCATTTAAATTAATACATTGTAAAAGCTTCAGGTGGAACCTGAACTCTGCACTGATCTGAAGTTGACCGAATTCGGTAATAATTCAACGGGTCTTCAAGAATTTCCGAATGAAATTCCGTTCTAGTTACATCGTAGTTTTAAGGTTTCTGTGACATCAAGAGTTTCGGAATCATTCTAGCTTTAAATTTAGTTTCTCTCGCACTGTTAGCTTCTTCTGGACTGCAAAAGTTTCCAAAAGAATTGAAACATGAGCAGATTTTAGTAGCGCTACAGGTTTATCATTTGCCTTGGTGTAAATTGTCTTATCTTATCTAAGATCGTCAGCTAAAAGTGCGGTGGTAGCCGCTATGTTGCGAAAAGGGACAACACCGCTTTGCTACTTCGATGAAGCCCACTATTAAAATAACATGAATATACATTAATTAATAAACAAGTAAGCAACATTGGATGTGTTTACTTCAACCAAAATGGTACTATTTGGCAATATTTTCAATATTTATCATTCTTCCACTTAGATTTAGCTTTACAGAATGACAGTGTCTATGAAAGTGATGTATGAAGAGGGAGCGAAGTAAAGATCAGTAAAGGCAACCGGCAGGAA